TTAAAAAGAAAATAATCTGTTAGATTTTCTATTTAAAAGTTAAATACATAAAATGAGAGTTTGTATAAAATAATATTAAAGATATTGATTAATATATATTTTGATTTAATACATTATAAACACATTCATTAAAAAATATTATATTTAGATTTAAAATTAAAAACAAATAAATTTAAAAATACAATTATATATATAGAATGCATAAAGAGGATGAATTGGCTGTACTTAATTGAGTTTGTACCTATTATTTTTCTAATATTAATTATTATAATATGACCCTAGAGTGAGCTTTTTTATTATGCTCTTAGGAAACCCTTATCAATGAAGAGGTTAAACGTCATCTATTAAAACATTCATGGTTGTATCACGTAACATATTAACCCTTTGTCTTAAGCAGACTTTTACGTCTCACCCACACCATATGCTGCAAAATTTGCCATACAGCATTTTGCCATGCAAGTGCAGATAAAAAAAATACATATATTTGTGTCGCGAGGCTTGAGTAGACTCTGAAGAAGCAAGACTGCCTAGAAAGTTAAGGAGAAGATGAAAAATGGAGATGGCAATGAGTCAAAAGAGATGCAAGATAGATGGAAATACTTGAACGAAGTTGGCGACATCCCATTAAACTTGACATCAGCAAAGCCGTTAATACGAAGGTTTACGCCCATAATACGCAACAAAAAGAATATCAAGAACGAACGATAGTTCACACCAACTTCTGTTGCAGTCAGTCCCTTACAAAAGGATAAAAAACTGCAAAGAAGTGAGGAGTTCAAGCTACAACTGGCGGCCAAGTTCATCAGATATAGTGACAGGAAAACGGAAGATTTCTACAAAACGTCAAGAAGGAGATAAATAGTTTGAGGAAGTGTTAAAACCCCAAGGAAATAGAGAAATGGAATGATGAGGAGTTAGCTTGCATGTTCCTTGTGGATGGCTGTGCATTGTTGAATTTGATATACATCTTGATGTGAATAAAAATTGGAAGGAATTGGGAGGTACGAATGATCTAGTCGCCTTTGCGAAGCTGGATTTATTTTTGCTTGAGAACCAACTACCCTAAATCTCCTTAAGATACTAATGAAGACATGCACTGGAGTCCCCAGTTATGCGAATGTGAGAGATTCAAATCCTAACAGGTTATTGGAGAAGTCTATCATCAGCTTCAGCTTCATCAATATGAATGACATGAGTTCGGTAGAGCTGGAGCGGCATAAGAACCCCCAGAACAAATGCCGACACTCATTCATGACTTTGATTCTCCTCATGATCATCGTCAATATCAGCATCAACTACAACAAGCAGAAAGAGAAGGAGAAGGAAAAGAGCCTGCGTATCTTCTGAAATTGTTACGGAGAAGACTGATCGACAAAGAGGGTGCGAAACATTGACAAGATAAGGAATCAAATGACATTTCAGGGAGCCTGAAGAATTGGCACACGATTCACGACATAAAGGAAAACTGAAAGAACATGGGATTTTGTTTAAAGCGACCGAGACGAGCAGTGTCATGGATAGTACTTTCTGCCCCAACTTTTGCAAGGCAACCCTAAAGCTGCCTCCCATCAAGGTTGACCACTATACGGCGCCTAACTTGATGAACTTGATGGCACAAGAGATGTGTCCGGATTTAATGAACGACTTTGAGATCACTTCCTACGTCTCCTTCCTTAACTCTTTGATTGAGAAGGCAGAGAATGTGAAGGAATTGAGAGATGCTGGCGTGCTGGGCAACAGACTAGGAAGCAACAAAACTGTAGTGAAACTTTTCAACAAGATCAACACAAAGCTGGTGCCTAATCCTGAGCAATACAAAGAATTGAAACACAGAATCCAAGAACACAGTAATATCGCATGGACCACCAACATGGCTCAACTTTATTACACCTGTTTCAACAGCCGCCACTGGCCTTCCTTGGTTCCCTACTCGATCTTAGTTTGACAGCTGCGCAGACTTATAAGAACTTAAATGACAAACCATCCAATTAAAAGAAGTATTCACAAGTGTGTTTAACCTATAGTTAATTCTTTTCGGATTATACTTATGTTGTGACATCCGGTGCTCAGTTTTTTTTTTTTTTTACACAGAAAAAATGAATTTTATTCATGGAGAATATAAGGAGTACTCAATTCTTGAAATACAAGTTTAGAGTCCCAACAAGTTCACCAAAACCTGAAATGGAATCTGGACATGGAACTTGCGTTGGAGAAGAAGGCTTTTCAGTTGGTGGCGTAGGAGCCGATACCGAAACACCGATTTTGGCGAGATTTAAAATCTCACTACGATGAATTCGATTGCCAGGATCATCACTTAGGTTGGCAAGACCTAAGATACATAGATAAATTGAGAGAATCTACTCTCAAGAAACTCACTCAAAATAGAGGAGGATTGAAACTTCATTAACTGATAAAACTTATGCATACAACGAAGGGAACATAGCTATTTAAAGGCAAAATCTAACATAAGGCAATAAATGAAAAGTGAAAATGCAGTTGGGAGTTAGCCATTTAGTGGTCGCTTTGACAAAGTTGCATCGGCCTAGTGGTGCTGCAGAGTAGCTTCTGCATGCTTGTTTTTTTTTCCTAGTGCATTCTCCCCTGGTTGGAGAAAACTCGTCCTCGAGTTTGAGTTCAATGTTCATGATCCTCATAGTAAGGAGATAAGTCAGCTACATTGAAAGTAGCAGAGACTCCATAGTCACCTGGAAGTTTAATCTTGTAGGCATTATCATTAATTTTCTCCACTATCTGAAAAGGACCATTTGCTCTAGGGGAGAGTTTGACATTAGGTCAATTAGGAAATCTTTCCTTTCGAAGGTGTATCCAAACCCAATCTCCTTCTTTATACACAACCTTCTTTCGGTGCTTGTCATGATGAGCCTTATACCTAATGGTTTGACGTTGTAGCTTCTCACGAACTTCTTCATGAAGTTTCTTGATCTCTTTGGCTCGTTGTTCAACATCTGCACTAAATTGTCGGGATGTGGGCAATGGAGCAAGATCTAAAGGACTGAAAGGACGCACTCCATATACTACTTCAAATGGGCATTTTCCCGTAGCTTGATTCGAAGAGTTGTTGTAGGCAAACTCAGCTTGAGCAAGCACAAGATCCCATTGTCGCAAATTCTTTCCCACAAAACTTCGTAGTAGATTCCCCAAAATCTTATTGATAGCTTCCGTTTGCCCATCGGTTTGGGGATGGCTAGCAGAACTAAACTGGAGTTGAGTGCCCATCTTTCTCCATAAAGTCCTCCAAAAATGACTCATGAACTTCACATCTCTATCTGAAGTGATGGTCTTTGGAACTCCATGTAGACGCACAATCTCTCTAAAATATAACTCAACAATGAGAGAAGCATCATTAGTTTTCTGACAAGCAATAAAGTGAGCCATTTTAGAAAATCTGTCAACCACGACCATGATAGAATCCTTGCTTCGTTGAGTTTGTGGTAGACCAAGGACAAAATCCATACTAACATCTTCCCAAGGTGATGTTGGGATAGGCAATGGCAGATACAACCCTGTGTTCCGATTGATTGTCTTGGCTTGGTGACAAACTTTGCATCTTTGAATGTGATGAATGACATTCTGCTCCAACTTTGGCCAGTAAAAGCTTTCTTTAACAAGAGCTAAAGTCTTGTCTCTCCCAAAATGACCAGCTAATCCACCATTATGTGCTTCCCAGATAATTAAATCTTGGAGTGAGCAACGTGGAACACATAGTCGGTTACCCTTGAAGAGGTAATCTTGCTGGCGATGATATTGCTGAAAGGCTTGATTAGAAGTGGCTTGCCAAATGTTGCTAAAATCAGGATCATCCTCATACAACTCCTTGATCACTTCAAATCCAGTGACTTTCATCTGTAAGGAAGTAAGCAAGGCATGTCGGCGACTCAAAGCATCAGCTACACGATTTTGGACTCTAGATTTGTATTTGAGGAGGAAAGGATAAGCTTGTAGAAATTCACTCCAAGTAGCATGTTGATGACTGATCTTCTGTTGGGAATTCAGGTGCTTCAATGCCTCATGGTCAGAATGCAAGATGAATTCTTTTGAAAGAAGATAATGACTCCAATGTTCCAAGGCTCGAACAATTGCATAGAATTCTTTGTCATAGGTGGAATATCTGAGCTTTGTGTCATTCAACTTTTCACTGAAGAAGGCAATGGGTTGACCTTCTTGACTTAACATTGCACCAATTCCAACATTAGAAGCATCACAATCTACTTCAAACATCAGGTCAAAGTTGGGAAGTGCAAGTACAGAGGTTTCAGTGAGCTTCCTCTTTAATTCTTCAAAACTCTGTTGGGCTTTGCCACTCCATGAAAATTTGTCACCCTTAAAGCTGTCAGTGATTGGGGCAACAATAGAACTAAAATTCTTGATGAATCTCCGGTAAAAAGATGACAGGCCATGAAAGCTTCGAACTTCATGCAACGATGTTGGTGTAGGCCAATTGACAATAGCATCAATCTTATTGGGGTCCATCTTAATACCTTGAGCAGTGATGATGTATCCAAGAAATGTCACACTTGTAGTGAGGAATGAACATTTCTTGAGATTAGCATAAAGTTTCTGCTCTTTAAGGACTTCAAAAACTTGCCGGAGATGGTCTAGGTGCTTCTGTTCATTCTTGCTATATACCAGGATATCATCAAAGTAAACCACAACAAATTTCCCAATGAAGAGTCGAAATACCTGGTTCATAAGGCGCATGAAAGTGCTGGAAGCATTAGACAATCCGAATGGCATGACCATCCACTCGTACAAACCACCTCTAGTTTTGAATGCTGTCTTCCATTCATCACCAGGACGCATTCGAATCTGGTGATATCCACTTCTCAAGTCAATCTTTGAGAAGACAGTAGCTCCATGCAGTTGATCAAGCATATCATCAAGGCGTGGAATTGGGAAGCGATACTTGATAGTGATTTTGTTGACTGCTCGACTATCTACACACATTCTCCAAGTTCCATCTTTCTTTGGGACGAGTTGCACAAGCACGGCACATGGGCTAACACTTTCCTTGACAAGTCTTTTCTCCATCAGTTCTTTGACTTGTCGTTGAAGTTCCGCATACTCTTGAGGGTTCATCCGATAGGCAGGCTTGTTTGGGATGACAGATGCTGGGATGAAATCAATGGCATGCTGAATGTCTCTCATTGGTGTTCACCTTCCTGTTTCAGCTCAAACCTCTGGAAGGAACTAGTGCCTGGTACTACATCTGCAAGAGACACTTAGAATTTGAAGGTTTTGAAGGTAGTAGAATTAAATATGACAATTCAGTATTACCTACTTCTCGTCCAACCTTAGGGAAAACCGATTAGTAAGAAATATTTTTCTTTTTGGAGGGCCCAAAGAATTCTAATTTCCCTGCAGTTTGGAGGAATGGTAGGACGAACAACCCAGAAATTCTCCTTGATGCTGAATCATACCTTGTCATCAACAAACTCCTTAACAACAATTCTATAAAAGTAGAAGTCTTACTTGATGAAGGCAATCTTGTCAGATCTAAAGTTTGGCACCATCACCATGTGCCTTCAACAGTCATTATCCTTAATCTTCCCCTAGACTTTGAGGCTACAAAGAAAGCTAAGACTTCCTTTTACAAAAGCGAAAAAAGGAAAGAAAGCTCTGCAAAAGGTATGTCAGACTTCTTTGTTGCTAATCAAATTCTTAAGTCTCAAAAATCATTTCTAATAAGATGTTGTTGCCTGTAGGTTCTACCATAATTGCACTTAATATGTTGGATCACCGTGTGAAAAAAAATAAGAATTCAACTGAGGAAGAAGACTCAATTGCTGTGGGAATTCCTAGAGCTCAAGACTGCCCAAACTCTCCAATGGGGCAAACAGAACAATCTTCAGATATCCCTCTTGTTTTCCTAGAGATAGCAACCTACACTATAGAATCCAGTTAGAACCAACAAACCTACAGCACCTTGTCAATATGGGATCGATTACAAAAGCTCCAAGAGACTGATAGAGAGTTATTATCTTCTATCATGGTGTTGGTCACAAGAAAAAATCAAACCGAGAAGTCCATTTCTTTTGAGCTTGATCTTGACTCAGGTATCTTCAAGTCCTTGAACTCTTTTTAGCTTTCTCCCCTTTTTTTTATACACCCAACAATCCATTCTTCAATGTTTTTAGGATATGATCCGAACATGAGAGGAAGATCAGTGCTTTGAGAAAGCTCATTTGCATACCAGCTATCAAAGAATTTCCTTACATAGGAAGACAAAAATCACCTAAAAAAACTTACAACAGAGACAGGATGGCATGAAACTAACCATTACCTCACAAAGGTTTGCAACTTTCTTGTCCTTTTTCTGTCTTCAATGCTCTAGAGACTTTTGTTCTTAAATTAAATTTTCAATTTCTAAGTTATGGCTTACCACCAAACATTAAAAGAAGATTACCTTAAGAATGAGGATGCCAGCTTTTACGTAGAGGAGGAGGCTACAAAGCTCAAGAACTTATTTGGTGATGTTGTCCAAATATGTCTTCGACTTGATGAAGAGAAAAATGCCGCAGTGCAAAGATCTGAGCTCCTATTTGTTGAGCTAGAAAATTTTAAGAAGCTTTTTGCGGACTCACAAGAAAATTACCTCTCAATTAAGAAAGAGAAAGATGAAATTGAGAAAGAAATGAAAGCTAACCACTCTGCCTTGGAGGAAGCAAGGAAAACTGTTCAACTTCTTCAAGATGAGAAAGGGGGTTACCTGCGTAAATTAGATGAGCTCAAACAATCAGTGACAAAGCTTTCATCTCAAAACGCGAGTCTTCAAATGCAGATCACCAATACTTCAATTGACACTATCCATAAATTTAAGAGATCAGAAGAAGGTCAAACTTGGGCTTTGAGTGGTTGCATAGATCATTTTCATCTTGCTGTATCCATCAAAAAAACTCTTATACTTGAACGAGACATGCTAAAAGGTGATCATATTCCAAGTATTCAAAAGCTTGACATTTCTGAGGAAATCAAGCAAGACCCAAGTTTGAAGAAAATGTTTGAGGATGGAGTGAAGAAGATCTCCAAAGAATGTTATTTTGAAAATGAGGGAGAAGAATCTGCGGACCAAGAGTGAGATTCCAACAACCCTGAACATTAAGATTCTTCTCAAGATGAAGCTTCTAGCTCTTAGGTTTTATATTATTTCTTAGAATAAATTTGTTTCCTTGAAAGTTTTTGAACTTTGGCTTTCCATGGCTTACCACCAAAATTTTTACCAACTTACTTTGTTAGAAAGTTGATTTATCATGACACCTTCTTAAAAGTGTCTCAGTTTTCAATGAGAAAACTATTGCAACTGGTTTTCCTCGGGCCCTGAGCTTAACCAGTT